TTCCCAACCAGGCGGTGTGCAAAAATCATTGACACGAGGTCACTTCCAGAAACGAGACATAACACTAATAATGAGCTTAGCAGAAATGGAGGGAAAGCACTGACCCTGATGAGCAAAGCCGAGGGTGGAACATGAACTGTAACCTTAGTGGAATGAGCAGTTGGGAAAGAATTGCTAAAGGCCAAGTCCTGATCCCCCTGAAGTCAATGGTAAAACTCCTGACTTCAATGGAAGCAGAATTTGGCCCAAAGTGAACCAGAAAGTCAGCAGGGAAATGCATTAAGCAGTGCAGTGTTTCCCACTCACTCACCATTGCCAAGAAGTGACCTAGGCTCCAATACACCGAAGAAGCAAGACTGCTGTTGCCGTGAAGAGCTGGCTGTTGCATGGTTTGCATTTGTTCCCTTTTCTGTGCTTATTACTTTGATATGTTCCCCCATCCAGCCAGTTTCTTCTGTATTTGTATGTCCAGTTTTGGATGTGTAACACCAACAGACCCCCTGTCACCGACTGGCAGGATCGAACCTGGGACCTCTGGAGCTAAATGCATGCGTCTCTACTGCATGAGCTAAAAGCCATATGCCTCTTAGTGAAGGCTGTGGAGCAGACTCATTAATCTCTCTCTCTCTCTAAGCGGTCTCAGTGCCACTAGACGGGACAGAGCACCTCACCCAGGGCTACAGATGCAGCAGTTTTCTTTCCATACTAGCTGCTGACTCCAGCTTATGGATGCTGCTTTCTAGTTCCTCAGGACCAAACCCCTTGCATTCCTGTGCTGGGAATTTGTCACCCCAGATATTTTGAGACTGTTTTAAATGCCCTGCAGGACACCTGTCAGAATGTGAGCTGAGTGACTAGGGGGCAACTTTACCTAGGACTCCTGCTCGGGGCTTGCCTCCTTCCCTGGGTCCTAGTCCAGCCCTTTGCAGGAAGACAGAGCCATTCTGAAACCTTCTCCCCTGTGCTCACCCTGCCTTCTGCAGCTATTACTAACATGGTCTTCCTTCCTGCTACTGGATCCCGTTGCTGCTCTCTCAGGATCCCTCCACAGCTTCTTCTCTCCTTCCCCCAACACCCTCACCTTTTGGGTCCTGCACAGTGCCAGCCCCATCCACATCTTTTCCTTCCTTTCCTCTTTCCAATTTCCTCTCCTAAATGTCCCCCCTCTTAGATACTTCTCCCACTGCTATCTTTTACCTTTTTCAATCCCTTTTATGCTTGAATCTGCATACTCCTGAGTGCCAAACACCTACCCTCTTCTCCAGAGGTTGGAGTCAATTGAACCAAGACGGGGAGCTCCACTGCACCAATCAAGGTGGAGGGGGACCTGTGAAGAAGCACTATTCAGCCAGGCCTGGGAGAGCACTGTCTCCACTTTTAGTGTAAAAAGGGGAGCTGCCCTCACCATCTCCCATGCTCCTCCTTACTTTAGCCTCTGATCTTCTCACTGGAGTTACTATTTGTAGTATAGTAGCAGCTACAGGGCTCCAACTGAGAGAAGGGCCCATTTTTCTGGGTGCTGTACAAACACACAGTAAGAGACAATGCCTGCCTTGAGAAATCTAGAGTTTAAGCAGGGGTCGGCAACCTTTCAGAAGTGGTGTGCCGAGTCTTCATTTATTCACTCTAATTTAAGGTTTTGCGTGCCAGTAATACATTTTAACGTTTTTAGAAGATCTCTTTCTATAAGTCTATAATATAGAACTAAACTATTGTTGTATGTAAAGTAAATAAGGTTTTTAAAATGTTTAAGAAGCTTCATTTAAAATTAAATTAAAATGCAGAGTCTCCCCCGGACCGGTGGCCAGGACCCAGGCAGTGTGAGTGCCATTGAAAATCAGCTTGCGTGCCGCCTTTGGTGCGCGTGCCATAGGTTGCCTACCTCTGGTCTAAAGGGTGAAAGAGGAAACAGAAGTGAAATGACTTTCTCAAAGTCACACTGCAAAATAGTGTCAGAGCCAGGCATAGAACCTAGGTTTCCTGAGTCCCTGTCCACTGCCTTATCCACAAGTCATCCTCTCTCATTCAGATCTATCCCTCAAATGCACTTCCAGTACTGCCACCCCTGAGCATTTAAAAAATCACAAGTCTAGCCCCAAAACTTCAGGCGTTATGGCTTAAAAATCATTTAGCCTTTTAAAAAATAATCCTTTTTTAAAATATTTGCCATCCAGTTTCTGAGCGTTTAGGTTACATTGAGTTCACATTGTCAGGCTTTTCAGTAAACTTTTTTTTTTTTTTTAAATTAAAGTTGAGATTCTCAGCTCCAGGAGCTGGGACTTTAAGAAAAACAGGAACTATGGCAAGATTTCCAATTAAATCACTGGATTTGACAGCGCTGCACTTCTTCCATAATTCGATTGATAGCAAGCCCCAGTCTAAGAATTCTGGAAAATTACATTACCAAAAAATATCCACACTGCTCTGAGATGTGAGCAGCATCCGATTATATGGTAGATTGTGTGTTTGTACTGTACTGTACTTAGATTGTAAACCCCTTGAGGCAAGGACTGTCCTTTCCTTTTTCTGCACCCTGATGGTGCTCAATAAATAACAATCCCCTCCTCTACATTGGCAACTCACCCCATTCTCACTCCCTGGAATGCCATGGCAGCCTTTCCCTAATGAAATCAGCAGAGAGTTACCAGCGCTGGAGTGAAGAGGTGTTTTGTATATTGCATAGTAAACGCCACAATAGCGAGTGAGAGGTGTTGAGGCCAAGGAGGAAGGGGGAAGTAAACAACGCTGCTTCCCATGACTCTGTTCTCCTAGCGAACAGCTGCCATAGAATAGCAAACAGTTCCTGATTGAGATAAGATTACACACATGCAAATGACGCTAATCATCCCAGAAAAGTTTTTGCAAAAAGAGTCAGATTCTGATTATTTTTTATTTGAACTACCTCCCAGTTTTCTTAACACAGTGAAGAGATTTAAATGTTCAATCCATTGTCAGTCCTTTTGACTATGGCAAATTGTGTTATCACATCTAGGGAGTATCTGTGATAAAACCCCTACGGTTGTAGTGAGACTATGTAATTTTTCTATGATGAGTGTAGCTGACTGAAACCTGGTGTAGACATTTAGCAGCAAAAGGAGTACAGCTTTTTCTATACAGCTTTTTCTGTACAGACCCTGATCCTGTGGGTACTAAGCCCATACATAACTTTATACATGTGAGTAGCCTCATTGAAGGCAGTGACATCCCACTGGAGTCAGTGGGGAGAACTCGTGTGGAAAGTTATGCACGTGCTTAAGTGCTGGCAGGTTAGATAAGAAAGAAAGATTGTTAGATAATAGACAATGCCAGGAGAACGGTGGTCTTATGGCTGAAGCATAAGAATTGGGGAGCAGGACATCGGTATTCTATACTGGCTCTTTTGCAGACTCTTTGGATGACCTTGGGCAAGTCACTTAGAGATTCTCTTCCTGTTTCCCCGGCTGTGTAATGGAGCTATAGTGCATCACATACTTGACAGGGATGATGTGAGGCTCCGTTCATGAACGTGGTCAAAGCCCTTTGGGTAGGCAGGTAAAGCCAAGTGAATAATGAAAGAAATGACTCTCAAATATGGAAAATTTCACTAAGCTGGAATCTATTCACCAATGATTTGCCCAGCTCTATCGCTTGAGCAAATGATGGAAAAAATATTCCTCCAATTCCTCTTTAAAAGAGATCATGAAATTCATCAACTAAATTACTCAAATCATATTGGGCCAACTCTGGTAGTAGTATCATTAAAACAGAGCTAGCTGGGACAGGATTCTATTACAACAGGCCTATCTGGGTGCATTTAAGAAGCCAAATAATTCTGTTTTAGTTAGGAGAAGTTGCCGGTGGGTGGATTTGGAAGCATAGGGCTGTCTCGCCAGCCATCACTTACATGCAATGATTATCATCTCCTGCCACCAGTATCCTGGCTCCCAGGTGCCCCAAAAGCACTTCTCTGGAGGAGGGGAACCCCTTTGATTTCTTGTCCTGGGTACCAGCCAAGCCTGTCAGACAGCATTAATTTTAAAAGTGCATCCTATTTTCCCTTTGATAGACTATAATCTTCCATCCTACAGATTTTCCATGCACAGAGAGAGCTGATGTTTTTCTTATTAACTGTACAGCACTTACAGACTCAGCAGCTCCTGTAGGAGAGCTGGAGGTGTTTTGTTTGTCCTCTCAAAGGAAACAATATACCCCATGCTGAAGGATGTTCCCAGCAAGTCTGCTGTTGTCAGAACTGGTGGCTGGTGCTCTTGGGTCAGGCTTTTCTGCTTCCCTGGTGTTGTTTTTCTGGAAGGATACGGCATTTGGAAGTCTGTCTGACTCGGCTTCATAGCTAGACGCCTGTGTAGGAGGCCTGCAAAGGCACACTGCTTCGAGTGATGGGGATATCTGCTTGAAGCTAACCAGCCACAGAGCTCCTCAGACATTCCCTTTTATTTAGCTTTCAAATGCAGTGTGTATGCTTTACCTCCTGGAAGTGCTGTGCAGGACTCTGACTTCCCACAGCACAAGTAAGCACGTTTACAGGGGTGGTTTAGAGCAGGATTCACGAAGCTGTAGATCCAGGCCTTGGGCTAGAGGGGAACCCATACACCCAGAAACTCACAAGGGCCCCAAACCAACAACTTGTTCTGCACAGCAAGATCCTCCGCTTACGCAAAACAAGTTGCAAGACCGGGGCTAAAGTTCAGATCTATAGGAAGGGGCTCCACAGGGGGTCTGTCACAGGGACGTGGGACATGAGGGATGATTATCAGGTCGGGGGGGGGGAAGAGTATTTGATTTGTTGTGGGCTGCTCTTTGCTTTGGGGGGAACCCTTGGATTGGATTGGATCTGGGCCCCATTTCGTCTTAACCCAGCATCGCATGTTTGTGAAGATTAACGTTTGAAGGGTGTGTGTGTGTGTGTGTGTAATATATCTGCAGCATATTAACAAGAATGTTCTTAATCCTGGGGGCTAAGCTACTTCACATGGCTAGAATGTTCGGAGAGGTGATAATGAAGAGAGATCAGATGGAATTACACAACAGCCATGCCACCTGGGTTGAAACTAGAGTGGTTTATTCCTTTAAAAAAAAGTTTTCTGTTGTGGAGGAATCTTTGATAATTTCCAGGAAGCTTGAGGTTCACTTCAAAGTCATTAAGCTGCTGGGGAGGAAAGGCAAGGCAAACTGTCTGCACTAGGCATGCTCCGCAGTGACTGCTTCATGCAAGGCTGGGCTCTCTCACAATACTCCCAAACGCAGAGAACAGAGGGAAGCATGGGGGAGCCACCTGGTAAGTCAGCGACATTCTCTTCCTACATCTCCAAGTTAAAACCACTTAATTTATTCAGCCTGAATTAAGAGTTCAAGGGAATTGTGTGGGTGGCTTTGTTGTTTCTCTGTAAGGCATGCTGCAAAAAGGAACCAATCCACTGCAAAGCTGTCATGCAGCTGCCAACGATTCTAACTGCATCTCTAAGTTTCTCTCCTCATGTCAAACCATAGGCTTTTTGCTCTGTTCCGGAGCTCTGAGTGTATGCTGCACATGCTGCGCTGACCGTTTTCAAACAGATTAATAGTTTTGGGGGAGCAGCAGTAGATTATCTGGTCTCCGCTGGTGTTAGTTGCAGATGTAACTGTTTGAGTACCAGAGAGTATGTGTTTACAAGCAGCTTGGCTCTTTCTTTCAATTGTTTGAAGATTACGTGAGGTATGTGTTTCCCCATTTGGCTTGGACATAGGGGAACCTAAAGTCTGCTGCTAGCAGCCCCTTACCCTTTTGCACTGGGTAGGTGGAATCAAAGATCAGAGCAAAGCAAAAGGGTTGTCTTGCCACACAGCAGTGGAAAGAGATCATATTTTCAGGGCAGGTTTTAGGTCAGCTGTATGCTTCTAATGAGTCTTCTGCAGTAAATTGCAGCCTGTGGTCACTTCAGGTGACCTGCTGGTTAATTGATTCAGTGACTATAGCCGATTCAGTTTCTGTACTGATAGCCCTGCAAAGTTTACAAACTTTCCCCCCACATTTTTGACTTTTAAAATGTTCCATCAAAGAAATAATGATGTTAACCCAGGCTGCGGAAAGCACCACCCCTCACAGAGAGGGTTTAGTGCTTTAGGGATTAGGGTTTGGTAATCTGTGACTGTGAAATCTAAGTGCCTCTGTGCAGGTCTCCTTCATGGTGCCTTGCTGCTACATCCTACAAGTTTTCTTACGGTGTTTATTATTCCCAACTAAGCTCCTGTAAGGGAGATGCTGTAAAGATTGTTTATTGAGCACTATAGCCAGCCCAGAGTCTCTGATTTTCCAAGCATCTCTCTCAAGATGTTACCAGTTTAGCCATAAAATGAAACATTTAGGTACTTTATAGCAGAGAGATGACTGCTCTGCTGCAACATGAACTAGCTTACTAATAAAAGAACCTGCATTAGCTTCTTGCCAGGAATAACAGAAATGTAATGCTTGGGATCCATCTGGATGTTTCAAAAACTAAATTATTCCACTCTACAATCATAACAACAAAGCATCAGTTACTCTCATTTGTACATATGAGACAAAATGTGTGGATGGTTAATACCAGGCAGCTATTGGAAACTAACCTTTGTTCCTTCCCCCCCATGACGGGTGAATTAGCAGCGCTAAAAACACCAGCGCTTTTGTAACTAAATTAAAGACATTTAGTTAAATCCCCAAATCTTGCAAAGTATTTTTTGTGAAGAGCCATAATCTTGTTTGTGTCTAAGCACATCAAATAAGAAAACAGACTGTGAAGCAATCCTCTCTCTCTCTCTCTCTAGCTTTTGAATTTCTTTCCTGCTTTGCTATTTTCTTTCTTTTAAAGCTACAAACTTGCTTTCACCCTGAAAAGCTCACGCACGTCTGTGTGTGGTACTGCCAATGACAGTTTGAGGCTTCTGTCTCTGTTCATGTCCCTTTTCTACATGTTAATTCTTGTCTATCCCCACATTGTAACCCACTTTCTGAACAGGAGAGATGAATTCTTTAGTGAAGTGAAAGGCCCTGGTTCTGAAAATGTGACCCAACTCATGCTTAACTTTACTCCCATGAAGAGTCACAATCAAGTTACTGTCTGTCTTAGAAACTAAAATTGCCTTTAAAAACCTGATTGTTAGAATGTGATAATACAGTCATAGGCATTAATCCCTCAAATTGATCTATACAGCTACCCCTGTGTCCATATGAGCCCCATTGACTTTAGTGGTGGTCCACTTGCACAGATTAGTTTGCAGGGTCAGGGCCTTAAACCTGAAGCTGCAAAAGTTTATCATCAGTCTTAGTGCTTTCTATTATAAGCGGGCCCTTTTACACTTTACTCAGTTATCATTGCAAAGAGAAGAAAAAATCTGTTGTTTTTCCATTAGGTGTTAGGCTGAATATTACATTTTAAATTGTCCTAGAACTACAAATTATAGTCCTGATTTGGGCATCGAATCCATGCCAATGGACTGTTGTGTCTCTACGGAATCTCTTCTGGATTGGGGGTTTGTTAAGGATTCAGAGAAATTGTTTTTCCGTTGTTAGGAGTCCCAGAAGCTAAGACACTTCAGCTCATGCTCTTAAGTAAAAATCTGAGTACAACTGCATGAGCAAGCATTTTGATCCGTGTTGTCAGGATACCAAATCTTAGTGACAATGCAATGCGTATCTTGCCTTCTAGCCTAAAGCATTCAGCCACGTTCCTGAGCAGTAGCTGAACCGTTTTCCTTTCATTGCTTTAAAGGGTCTGTATTAAGTCAAAAAAGATGTTACCATTTGTTGTTTTTATAAATAGTTACATGGAAAATAACGACCCAATTAAATTCAATTGTTAAAGAGCAGAATAAGCAACTTCTGAATAAACTACTGCAGTACGAATTGGCGAGGAATCTCATGGCTTTTACTCACTTGGGACCTGGTTCTGCCACTCTTATTGTGTGTCCACTATTCTCCACAAAGCAGGAGAGTGGGTAGTGACAGGAACATTGGTTCTATGCTTTTTCCCCAGTGCACCAGCCCGTGCAGTTGAATTGCCATGGAATAGGGGTTGTAATGTAGAAAGGACCAATAGCAAATTACTATCGCCTGGATCACAGGGTGGGATGGCGAACCTCTGAGGCATGATTCCTTCCCTGCACTGCTCCTTGGTGGCATGGCAGCACACCACTACATGCACAAGGCAGATTGTGAAATCAGTCTAGCCCATTGTTTTCAGGATGGGGCCCTAGTTTGTGTCCTCACTTCCTGTAGCATTATTCAAAATTGCTGGCTGTAAAACAGTCTCCTGTGCTCAGAAAATACTAATCGGACTGAATCTGTCGGTTTTAGTCTTTCGAGTGTTAACGGATTACAGTAGTATATTGTTAGATACATAACTTGACTGGCTTTCTCACGACCTAAAGAGCACACGGAAAATAAACAAGGATCTATTGTTCAGTGGGGAAAAGCAAATGTTTTCTGCGTCGCTATCTAATTAAGAAAAGATCATTTTAAAATAATTCTCCTGACTGTCACAGCAATGACATGGCACATGCAAACTTGGGTTTTGCCAAAAGCAGATCTGGTTGGAGGGTGATGCATTTCTGAACTTCTCCATATTTTTCGAGCTGCTTACGAGCAGGCTGCAAGGTCCTGGCCAAATCTTCTATTTTAATGAATTTGGCCAGAGTCCAGCCTAATTAATCTTGAGGGAGTTTAGGGGTAGGAGAGCAGAGTATGAAACAATTGTTCTCTTGTAATTTTCTTTTCACAGTGTGTTGACCCAACCAAGAGCTATGTCTTCTAAATCCTCTGGGTCTCTTGCTGAACTCCTTACACCAATTTGTTTGGTTTTAACAGATGTTGTTTTCCCCTTCATGAGTGGAAAGGGTTATCTCACTTGCTAAAACCTTGCTATTGTGCTTTGTTTCAAGAGCCTGTGGACTTGAGGAATGCTGGGGGAAGCTTACTCACTAGGTCCAGCTACAAAGGAAAGGGTAGGTCAGTCTTTCAACAACTTTATACCACCTTTAAGATCCAAATGTAGATATCTACATAGATTGATGGGATCTTTTAACACCTACAGCAGGAATAAGCTAAATATGTCTCTGTGCAATATAGTGCTGATTATAGTAGACAGTGAAAAATTGCAACAGCATGTACGTTGCCCAAGTAGTTCATGATTAGAACATTATTGAAATTTGTCAGTGATTACTCAGACAATATTAGATGGGAAGTATGTTTATAGTATTAACTATACTGGGCCAGATTTTCAAAAGTGGCTACTAATTTTGCATGCAAAAGACACAGTCATATATCTTAAAGTTGGCATCTAAAATTTGTGGCAATTTTTGAAAATTCAGGACAGTCCCTCTTTCTCTGTGGTACTGATTGGCTATCACTTACCTATTCAGTCTCTAAGGGCTTGTCTACACTAGAAAGATTTGCCACTTTAACTACACCAGTGCAGTTAAAATAACAAACCCTTCCCTAGCGTGGTTGCAGTTGTACTAGTATAGTTTTATTCTTGTGTGGGAAGATGAATAATCTATATTGGTGTAAGGTACCTTTATACTGGTATAAGTGTCCACACTAGGTTTAAAAAATCACCCTAAGCAATATATTATCTTGGTATAACTTTTCTTGTGTATTCTAGCCCTTAAGTTCTGCTTTCCTTATTGTCAAATACCAAATATTAAACTACTTAATGTGGAATGAATAATATTAACAATGTGGAAACTGAGGCAAAGAGGTTTCGACTGACCCACGGCCACACAGTGTGTCAGTGACATCCCCTGAATTAGAATTTAGGATTCTTGAATCTCAGTCTTATCCTTACTCCACTGGACAGCGATACCGCTAAAATATTTCTCTGGTGTTTAAGTTCATCCAGCGTATTGACAACAACAACAACAAAAGCCCTGCTGTGAATATATGGTAGGACACAGACAAGAGAGGAAGATGGGGTTGGGCATCTATGGTACAAGTATAGATCTGGGGGGCAGTCCAGAAGAGGGACGTTGATTCCACATAGAAGTATGCTAACGGGAGGCAAGAGAGGCTGGTAACATGTGAAAGTAAGTGAGCAAAGCAGACACAGATGTGCTCAGATTGTATTTACTCCAGCAGACATGATCTTTATGGAGGAGTCTGAAAGTAGGGGAGGCCAGGCCAAACCCTGCAGAGTCCCCATCACAAGTCACCAACTACATTTGTGAGGAGGGGAAAGTGTGTGTTTACATGTTTGTTTGTTTTCTTGAATCCTGGCCTGAATGGCTGGCAGATCCTGCTGTGATTAAGAGAATGCTCATGTGTGTAATCCTTTTGATCATGGAGCCCAAGCTTTATAATCAATGTCACTGTCATCTCAAAGTCCAGCTCTGTGATGGATCCCTTATTAAAACATTTCTTACTCCATATGACTAAATACAATTATGGTGATCTCCTCTGTGTTTTGCCCAAACTGAGAGCTGTTTCTGCTGGTTAGAAGAAAAATCCACTTAGTTTAGTGTGGGAACAGTTTATTGGGGCTTTGCATGTAGGTATTTAAAGTGGAACTGTTAGCTCTTAAGGACTTTAATTTTAAGAGTCAAGAAATGTAAGTTCCCTTTATTTTGTTCGAACAAAGCTTTGACAGATTTTACTCATGGAAAGCGGCATGAACAGCATGAGAACACGTGTCTCAGTTTGAAAACATGTTTTCTTTTGTAGGTGTTTTTTTGGAGGGGGTGGGGTGGAGAGGGCACGGAGGGAAGGGAGTTGGCTGTTTACTTTTTGTTTAATAAAATACTTTACTATTTATTACAACAGTAGAACTGTCAAAGGAAATACTTCTACCACACACTGCCAACTTCTCTAGGAACCTGTTACATCTTCAGTATGGAATGTCAGTGAACAGTGTTTAAAAATCGCTCCTTCTTTATTAAAAAGAAAACCAGAAAAAAGAAAATCCTCTTGGTCTGTTTTCAGACTAGTAATGTGGTGCTTTGTCATCCATGGCAGCAAGCTCTCGACATTCTGAAAACCGGCTCTTTGGATCTGATCATAATGGCGAATATTCAAAGATCCCCCCCTCTGCCTTTGTGTTTACCTTATCTGGATTTGTGCATGCTACAATGAAAGAGCACTTATCCAGTGCTCTGGGCACAGTGGGCAAGCTTTTTAAATACACAAAATAACTAAACAAACCCAGATCTATTCCCTCAGGCCACCCAATAACAACATATATACCAAGAAATAGGCTCAACTCTCAATGCACATTCAATTCCCACCAGAGTCCCACATCACCACAAACAGCCCTATCCAGTACCTGTCTCCTCATGAACACTGGAGGAAAGCTTTGCTGCATGCCCTGAAGGCTAGCAAACTCAGGCTGTTACAGACCTGGGCAGAAGCCATTCCCAAAGGTCTGGGGCTCCAGTGGAGAATGCCCTGCCAGCCATTCCCTCGTTCTTGTAACAATGTTGCTTCCGCTCAGGTGCCTCCACTGACCACCGCTGTGCTAATATGTTACGGGGCAAGGGTCAGTCTCTGAAATACACTATTTAGTCTATTTGGTAACACTTTTTCCTTTTATTTTTTTGCTCCCACTTCCAAACTTTCTTGGGAGCCATATTGTGCCACAATTTTTTTATTATTATTAGGCACAACACCTGATTAATTTCATTGGGGAAATCTGCTCAGAAATTGATGGTAGAATATGGACCATGATTTTCAGTGAATGTGAACATATACACTTTTTGCTTTCTCCTTGGGGAAAAATGTACGCACTCTCCTGTCTGCAGTGAAGGTTAAATGCAAAATTCACAGATTTGTATCTTCTTGTGAGCGGAATTAGAGAGATGTGCATGCCTGGGAGCACACAGGGTCCCAACATAAAGTTACATTTCTCAGTCTACAATGACCTTGACATACACTTTTTACTTGCAATCATCAGAGATGCTTTTTCAATTAGGTCTGTTGCCTTTGAACCCCGAAGTATGGTATTAGGAGAGTTTCCATTACAACCAACAGCCTTGTGGTGATGGGTGTTTGTGATCTGACACCAACCACTGAATCAGAATATTTCTTTTTTTTTTTAACTGACCCAAAATATTTCATTTTGAATCAGTTCAACAAAACATTAAATTGCATTTGGTCACTTCCTTTTCCTGAAGAGTTTACAGTCTAATTGGATTTTACTATTTAAAAGAAGATTAAATGGTCAAGGTAAAAACCAGATCCTATTTAAAATGTTTGTTTTTAATACACTGTCTGCTACAGAAAAGAAAAGGAGTGGGAAACGGAAGAGGTTAAAACACCAAAGCCAGCACTGCCCATTATTAAAGTTGCCCAACACTTCCATATAAGATCCCGTTTTCAGTCGCTTATAACTTTTGCCAAACTTTAACCATTTGAGCTGAAATTTCCCATGCTGAGTATGAGCTGCAGGATGAATTTCTTTTGAAAATTTCAGCTAAAAGAGCATATCTGTTTCTGAGAACAAGGTTGGGAGAAATACATTGTTTTGCTCTTACTGAAAAAAAAAATCTTACAGCCATTTCATTCATTGAGAAGCTCTAGTGCCCCCGTGTTTTGGATCAGCAACTTGAAATTTGTCAGGGGTGTGGCCTCTATGTCAGGAATATATGCTTTTTGCCGTGCCTGTGAAAATCCACCCTGTTAGTATATTTTATGTGGAATCAATGTCCCTCTTCTGGACTGCCCCCCGGATCTATACTTGTACCATATATGCCCAATCCCATCTTCCTCTCTTGTCTGCACCCTACCATATATTCACAGCAGGGTGGTGGTGGTGGTGGTGGTTGTTGTTAATACGCTGTAAGAACTTAAACACCAGAGGAATATTTTAGCGGTAGCGTGGTCCAGTGGAGTAAGCATAAGACCGAGATTCAGGCATCCTGAATTCTAATTCGGGATGTGTCACTGACACACTGTGTGGGTCAGTCAAAACCTCTTTGCCTCAGTTCCCACATTGTTAATATTATTCATTCCACATTGAGTAGTTCTGTGGCCTGCAATGTGCAGGAGGCCAGACTAGATGATCATGATGGTTTCTTCTGACCTTAAAGTCTGAGTTTGAGGAAGCTGTCTGAGTGAAATGTAGAGGCAACAAAAGCTGAACTGGGGTAAAGGATGAAGAGGAGTAGATTGGGAGAAGGAGTCTGCTGAGACTAGGACTGGAGCAGGAGAGGAACACTGTGCTGGAGCATGATGGGGGAGACTGCTACTGGATGGGCAAGGAGACTGAGAGCTGAGGAGAGACAGGGATGCTGAGACTGGGAGTTGGGGTGGGGGAGGAGGCTGGGACTAGGAGCTGGAGGATGAAGAAGGGGAGACGGGCTGGTTGGCAACTGGGAGCCAGGGGGAGACTGGGACTGTGAACCAGTGAGGGAAATGGGGGGTGAACTGAAAGCCAGTTCCTTGGTTGTTTAGAGGGGGCCTCGGCCACTGAAATTGGATAAGAAGCTGCGCAAAGGAAGGGAGACTGGGCTTGGCTGGACAAGGAAACTGGGACACAGAGAGAGGGAGTGGGGATCCTGGCTAGTGGAGGAGGTGAGACAAGACTGAGGTTGGATGAAGAGCCCCGGGGCTGATTAGCCACAGGGCCGACGGGGCCCATGCCCAGAGACCTCAGCCAGTTGCAGTGCCCCAGAAAAATGAGCACCCCGTGCCCCGACCCCACTCTCTAGCAGGAGCACCGGGCGGGTGGAGCGGGGCAAGTCACCATGCCCCACTCCCGCAGGAGCACTGGGCAGGGTGGGGCGAGCCCCCATGCCCTGGCAGGAGCACAGGGGTAGGGGGGACTGCAGGTGGAAGGGGTGGGGAAGGGCCCCCACTTGCTGTGGCCCACGGCCCCACAAAACCCTAATCCGCCTCTGGAAGAGCCCAGACTGGAACTGAGAGGCAGTGAGGGGGAGCGGCAAGGCAGATCAGACCAGGGGCCAGAAGAGGAGAATTGGAACTAGCTGGGCAAGGAGACTCACACAGGAAAATG